CGGTGCCCGCGCGCGGAGGGGCTGCGCGGAGCGAGACCGAATCTTGGACTCGCTGCTGGGGACGCGCGGCACCCCGGGCACATACTGCAGGCCCTAAGAGAGTCAGGAAAAGCCCGCCGATAAGACCGCGATAGGCAGCCCTGGCTGCGGTTGGAGGGGGCAGCCTGGAGAGCGACCCGTCGACCTGCAACTGGCCCCCCCCCAAAAAACGCCGGGGTAAGCCCAGCGTCCGTGCGGGGGGCTGGCAGAGGAATGAAAGGGTGGACAGGCAGGAGTTGGGGTGAGGACGGGGAGGACCTCTGCACTCGTGAGTCTGCGAGGAAGGAAAATCCGCCGACACGGCGTGTGAGTTTCTGAGCCATTCCCGACGCCATTTCCGACGCCATTCCCGCCGCAGTTGGTGCTCGCCGCCCCCCGTCCTGGCCCCGGCCCTGGTTGCGGCCCCGGCCCCGGTCCCGGCCCTGGCCCCGGCCCCATGTCCTGCATGGCCCCGGCCCTGACCGGGCCCTGGCCCTGACCCAGGCTCCCGGTCCCGGCTCCGACTCCGGTCCTGGTTCCAGCCCAGCCCCGGCCTGCGGCCCCCACCCCGCCCAGGCTCCGGCCCCGGCCCGGCTCCCAGCCCCAGCCCCGGCCCCGGCCCCCAATCCTGCTGGCCCTGGCCCCTGGTCCCCGATCCCGGCCTCGGCCCACGGCTGCTCGATCCCGGCCCTGGTCCTGGTTCCGATCCCCGTTTCGGGCCCCAGCCCCGGCCCCGGCCGTGGCTGGTTCCAGCCCTGGTCCAGCCCCGGCCCCGGTTCCGGCTCGGCCGATCCAGGCCCTCTGGGGGCGCCACTGTGGTTACTAAGCGCTTGGTCCTCTTAGATTTGGTTACTAACCAGTTAACTTGGTTCCGAAAACGAGGTCAACACCTCAAGGTTAGAAGGTGTTCCTAACCAGGTTGCGAAGTAGCTTACGCAAGTTGGGTAAGTGGTTCGCGGCCCAAGTTGGGCTTCAGATCCATGGGTTTCCCAACGTTGTAGTCTCATTGTTTGTGGGGAAATCGCAATGCGGCGGAGGGGGCGTCAGCTCTGAAAAAACAACCAACGTATATCGTCATATTCAGGTTAGCTGTGGGTGCACCGTGATGCGCCCACGGGCCAGCTCGCCCGAGTTGTAACGACCTCACCGCGCGGTGCATCACCGCATGGCAAGCCCCTATATGCCGCCACGCTGGTTCCGGGCAGGCTGTGCTGTCCGGCGGAATGGGACGAGGAGGGGAGAAGCAGGCAAACGACGGCGAACGCCCAGGCGGGAGGCCAGGGCCGGCGGGGCGGGCGGGCAGGCAGAAGACGGGCCAGGCCGAGACAGCAGGCAGGGAGCAGGCAGGGAGCAGGAGGAAGGACCCGAGTTGTGTTTGTTTCCGTTCCCACCGGGCGCCGTCAGCCCTAACAAGGCCAAGCAGAGATCCAAAGAGGGCCCAATCCAGACCCAAAGAGGCCTCAAGAGGTCCTGCAGAGAGACCTCGCGGGACGGGAGACCCTCAATGAGGTCCTGCAGACAGGGCCTCGAGGAAGCCGCCTCAGGAGGAGAAGGAGGAGAGGAGGAGGAGAAGGGAGGAAAAGGAGGAGGAGGAGGAGAAGGAGGAGGAGGAGGAGGAGGAGGAGGGAGAGGAGGGGGGGAGGGAGGAGGAGGAGGAGTGGAGGAGGAGGAGGAGGAGGAGGAGGAGGAGGAAGGTTGTTTGTTTGTGTTGCTACGCGGCGGAGTGGGCGGAAACCCATGCTTAACTTCTCCTCTCTGCATGACAACTCTACGAGTCAAGACGACACGTCAACCAATCTCCTCGCATTCGAATGCTTAAACTTCGGTGACAGGATGATTCTCGAAATCTCCCCTGCGGAAGCATTCTGAAACGCACAAGGCTCTTGCACGCAAAGCAACTGAGTCAAAATCCCGTGATTCTGTACCCTGCATCGCACGGACTCCCCATCCGAACTTAGAATTGCCCATGGTGAAACAACGCATCCGAACCACGTGCCCACGGCGCAAAAAGCCTGCACCATGCCAAACCAAACGAACCCGCTCTCTCCTAACACCGCGCAGACGTCCCTCGCATGAACAACCCTACCTTGAGCATGTGTACTGTTTGCGAATAGAACTTCTAAGCCATTGCCAAAAGGGAAGGCCTTCAAAAATGCACTCAATGCCCTCGCTGAGGGCTTCTTTAAATTAATCAGCGTCGGTTTCTCGATGGAGTGGCGGCCTAAATCGTGAAGGTGTTGAACTGTGACCTGCTCTAAAGCCGCACGGTCAAACGCTGTCAAACCATGCCGAGGGGTCATTGCCCTCTTCAGAACGCGATGCTTGCGTTCGTGCAAGAAGGTGGAAACAATCATACCGTGGAGCTCAAGATGGCTCGGTATATGCTGGACGTAGTGCTCTTTTGCCTTCCACAGTGTGAACCCTTACGCAGCCTGCAGGTGGTCGTGGATGGCAGTGGCGAGGTCATCGGCACGAGCGTCGCCGCCGTCGGCAGTGCCCAGCAACTCCATCACGCGAGCCAGAGCGAGAAAGCTTGCCGATTCCTCGGCGCACACACCCTTCTTGAGCACAACGCCTCGGATGTACTGCGCCAATCATAGAGCAGAAAGATAGCAGCTCTGACGCCGATCCGCTCGGCGAATAATTGGCATGTTTGCAGCGCGCGGGTCGGGCATGAGCATATTCGTTAGGCCACCGCCACATTTGCAGATACGTGTCGACAACATCACCTCCCAATCCATGGTCACCCAGCCGCTCAATCAAGGTGGTTGCCTCTTTGGCGGGCGTGCCATCGATACAATAGCAATGCATCCAATCATAACACCAAGTGCTTGGCAAGTCGTAGTCCACATCTGCGTCTTGCAGCAAGCCAGTCGGGATGTAGTTGAAGCCGAGCAACGTTTCTAACGACTCTAACTCACTCTTCGGTCTGTGTGTGGCAACATCGTGCAATCTCTTCTGTGTCGCCTTGACACCTTCATCGGAATGCTGTCTGAACGAGGAGACGTCGAGCGACGTCGAAGGAATGAGAAACCCAGTCGGATCTGGAAGGTACGTGCTCATGAACGCTGCCACGTTTTTGCAAAGAGCGCATGATCTCAGCCCGCCAGAGCCTTTCACACCCATGGAGAACTTGTGGCCGCGCTCGTCTTGCACGAACATAGCCGCGCGTCCTGTCGCGAGACGGGGGCCGTTCTCCCCCTCGATGGACAACGAGATGCCGCGTCAAATCGGGGCCAGTCGGCCCCCCGACGAACAACTTTACTGCATGCCGAAAAAGCTCGGCCATGCCACCAAGGAGCTCCGCAACAGTGTCTGACCTCGGCGCGCGCGCAGTCATCCACGCAATCTCGCAGCTCAAGATCGGGAACCCGAACTCCTTCAGGCTCCAATATACTGCCTGGACTTTCGTGGTGTTGTGCGGCTGCAAAGCCTGCCCAGGGGTGATCTCATCCGTGGGCAGAATGATCGAGACACGGTTGTTGGACGCGTCCAATGTGCGCGTCGAGATGGACCGGGGCTCATCGGACACTTTGCACGCTGCCTCCAAGAAAGCAAACGGATGTTGGAAGACCAGCTCGACAGGAGGGGCTCCGACCTTGTGGGGCACAGTCCGAAATTGAACCAGTTTCCCGAACGTGGTGCTCTGGAACGCGATTGCTTGCCTCGCCCGTCTCTGTGTTGACGTGGAGAAAGCAGTGGGAATCATGCCGCCACCATCCCAGAACTGCGTGAGAATGCGCTCTAAACCGCTGGCGCTCACATGAGCGTCGCGGCCAAGGTGCGCAAACTTAATTCGCTTGGCGCCGCTCATCGCGACGAGCCATAACGGCTATATAACGGAACCGACTCGCAACTTGGGACAGCGCAGTGTGCGCCGAATGTCATCATGCCAGAATTGTCGGGGCGACAACGGCAATGTCCGTTCGAACCTTGATCGGGATAGGGGGGTGGGTGGGGGGGGGTTGATATTGGATTGAGGATTGACGGGGTGGGTGGAGGGGCGATGCGTTCAAACATCGCAACTTCTTGGAGCCATCTTGGAGCCGTCATGGAGCCCACCCCTCATCCTGCCCCCTCCCTTTTTTCATTGCCATCTTGGGGCCATCTTGGAGCCATCTTGGAGCGACCATGCAGTGGTGATCGAGTTGTGGTTGCTGATGCGAGTGTTGGTTGCGATGGTAATGTGTTGTGGTGTTTTGACCTGGGTGCCGTTGATGTTAATGGTGATGATGATTAGGATGGTGATCATGATGTTGATGCTGGTGATGATGAGGACGCTTGGCTGCACACTCGCGATTGCAGGGCGATGGTCTGAATGCCTCCCCGCGTATCTGTTTACGCACGTGTCTAGCATACGTGCGGTTGTTTGCTGCGTGCCTGATCTTGCGGAGTCGTGCCGCATGTGCACCTGCGCCCCTGATGTATGACACGTAACTCCTCGACGGGCACTCGGCGGCTCGCTCGCATCGCTTGGGAGGCGGTGGTCAAAAGAAGGCTCCACTGTACACGGGGCCCTACTTCTTGTTCGCCTTTGCCCAAACTTCGGAAGCCGCCGCGCATGCCTCGCGGGCCAGCGTCGCACTGTCGGCGTAGGAATACCCAATCTTGTCTGCGAGCCTCTTCGTGCTGTCGTAGGCCTGGCTGGCGAAGGCTCCGCGGGTGGCGCCCTTGGCGCCCGCCAGCTACAGCCGCGTGGGGGAGTCGACTTTCGGCAGCTTGCCTCGTAGACGCCGAGGGGGGCGATGGGGGCGGAGCCGATGGGCGGCATGGGATGGTGGAGGCTTCAGTGGGAGGCAGGCCGATGGCGTCAGCCATGCCCCTTCGCTTCCCTCCGCAACCTTCGCCGACCCCTCTCGCCCAGGAGCTTGTCGCCCTTCGCCGCCCGACGGGTCGCCTCCAGCAGGAGCTGCCGCGGCCTTGGCCCTGGCCTTGGCCTTGGCCGTGGCCTTCCGTTCCTTGGAGCAGGACCCCTTGGCAACCTCCGCGCCCCCCTTCTTCTTGGCCTTAGCGACCGCCAGCATGCTCGACTCGAGCGCCTCGAGCTCGTCGTCGGGGGTTGCAGCCTCGTCGCCATCATCGGCGTCGGCTGTCTTCGACTGCGCGGGCGCCGTATTAGGGATGCCTCCCGCCCCAACAGCAGCGGCAGCCGCTCCTGCGCCGTCGCGTGGGGCATCTGCAAGTGCCTGCACTGGCGAGAGGTGCGTGCTCGAGTACGGCAGCATGTTGGCGCGCTGAAAGTGCTGCTGCTGGAACTGCATGCCGAACTGCTGCATCAGTGGCGCAAGCGCATCAGCAGCCCCGTTGCCGAACGCCTGAGTGGCCAAGCCCGCCGAGAGCTGCAAGGGGCAGGTCGGTTGCTGAGGCCGCGGGGCACTCGGGGGAAGCGCCAGCTGCAAGCATTGCGGCTGGTCGCTCGAGCTGGCAGGCGATGGCGTGCTTGGCTTGGAGCTGGCCTTGCCCTTGAACTCGGTCGCCGAGCGCCTGTGGACCATGGTGATCTTCGTGACGTCGACCTCGGCGTCGTGTAGGTCTTCCTGTGGCCGTAGGGGTAGACCTTTGCCTTGTCGAGCTCCTTGATTTTGGACTGCACCTTGTCAGCTATGAAACGCCTCTTCTCCGCATCGGCCGTGGCGACGTCAGAGTAGTGGCAGGTAAGGGCTATGGCAGCAGCAGCCATCTGGGTCTTCTCGTTCGGGCACGTGATCCCCAGCCTCCACGTGCGAGTGGCCAAGGCGTATGCCTTCGCAACTTCGGGAAGCATGGGGTCCACCATGGAGTTCCAGTCGGACGCCGCGAGGAAGAACTGCAGGTCAGGGCACGCCTGCTGGCGCCGCGGAGCCCCCGACCTCTTCTGTAGTTCAGTCGCGCTGGCAGCGTCGTTCAAGGCCGTCGCAAGCAGGGACTTCTGGTCGGGCGTCCACCGTCCGCTGTTGATGCGGTGCGTCGCCTGCGTGGCCACCTGCAAGTTGATGGCGGTCGAGGAGGCGAAGGTGGCCACGAGCGAGTTCGCCTGGGCCTGAAGCAAGACCGCCTCAGGCATCCCAACGCCAACCTGGCTGGCCACGGAAGCCAAGCGCTGCGACATGATGTCACACAGACGTTGGGCCTCGAACTCCATGACCTGAGGGCCGGTCGAAATGGTGCGAGGCGAGCAAAAGCGAAGCGATGCTAGGGCCCAAAGGCGGCTACACACTGTGTGTTTCGGGTGAGCTGTCGGTGAGGCGACTCGGCAGTGTAGGGTCTGGGCACTCAGAAATGTTGCTGCCGTGAGCTGGTCTGCATCTGATCTGAGATGCTATGCCATGCTGTGCTGGTTCCCCGCCCCTCCTGTATCATCCAATCCGCTCCATCTCACGCGCCCCCCGCTACCTACATGCAGCTCCAGACCTCGTCGCAGCCAGCTGGATGGCAAGGCGCTCTGGACCCCCCGCGGCGTCTCACGACGCTCAAAATTGAGGGGCTGAGGGCTGAAATGCGCCGGCTGCGGCTCGGACTCACCAGGGCCCCCGAGGAGGCAGCTGATGCACCAACTGTCCCTGGGGCGTTGGTGCATGCCCCCCCCATCCGCGCTTCTCGCAGACCCCATCGCGCGTGCTTCTCTAATTTCGCACTCCTCTGGTGCTTGCTGAGAGCGAACCTGCACTGATTTGGACAGGCCTCCTTCTACAGCCCCTCCCCCTCACGCGCCTCCAAGTTGCCTCCGAACGCTGTTTGTTTTTACTGAAGAAGCTCAAACTGGCAAGCGCCACCGCGTGCAACGACCCCTAGTTGCGAGCGGCAGCGAACACGGCCCCTCACGCTACCTGCTATCGGCACACTGCTGAACGAGCGCAGTAGCAACGCTATGCGAGCAGCACCCACGACCTCAGGTGCACCACGATCTCCGACAAACACTTGCAGTTCACATATGCTCCTGCAAGGACGGCGGAGAGGACGCTGCGCTGTCAGTGTCGGCACGCTCCTGCAAGGATAGCGGAGGGGACGCTGCGCTGCCAGTATCGGTGTGGTTGTCAGCGTAAAACTGCTCGAGCTGTTCGGCAATATTGTCAATCGTCTCCTGAAACTTGATTGTGGTTAGGCACCTGCACCGATTTCTGTTTCCATACGCCATTGGCACAGTACCACGCTCTCAGCGCACGCCTACAAGGGAGTCAGCGCACGTGCTCCCGCTTCACAACGACAGAACTGACGACCACATCAGTGTCATCAGCAGGCACTTCACGTAAGATCTCCAACGAATTTTCTGTCATCTCGATTGCCAATCGGTCCCTCTCTTTGGCGGATGACAACACATTGCAAGACCGCGTGGGCCCGCCAGCGAGCATCGCTGACAGTATACATACGGGTCAATATCATGCACGAGTTCTCTTCGAGGAATTTTCAACTGAGGAGAACTCTCTGGCGCAGACAACCGATCACGACCAACGGCAGCCATCTTTTCCTTGACCGCTACGTTGCAAGCTCTTGTGAGCGCACTGAGCATGCGGAAATCGTGGTTGACGAGTGTTGCAAAGCGCCTGTCGGTCTTGTCGCAATGCAAAAACGTTCTGCCACCTGCCTCCATTGTTTTTGCAACCCACGAATTCTGAGGAAAAGGAGTGCCATCAGCCGTCGACACGCACGCGTGCCCCTGTGCGATTGAGATTGGCATATCTTACGAGATCGAAAGCGGCGAGCCGCACGGCTCGAGCTGAAGCCTTGTGGCTTGATCCCCAAAAATGGGCTACGCTGACGATGGGGTGGTGATGAGATGGTGATTGGATGCAGTGTGATATTTGTTGCTGCGATGTGCGTTGCTTATCGTGCTCATGCGCATGCGATGCGTGGTGCGATGCTTGCTGGGCCCTCACTGCCATCCCTTACCATAGCGTAGATACCCCCTGGAGTCTACTTGGTGGTGTTGTTTGCGATGCTTGATGCGATGCCTGCTAGTTTTTCTTTTGGAGCTGGAAGGGTACCTTGAATGATGGGGGGCTTTCGTATGAGGGGTGCCCTGACATAGGGGCTGTCGCCTCGTGCCGAGCTGGGCTGGGCATCGCTCGGATGTCCATTTCCTGTGTTTTTGTTCGGTTTCGTGCGTGTTTTTTTCGCCAGATGGTCGAGAATGCTCCTCGGAGGTCCTCGCCGAAAGAAAAGTGCACACGTCCGAGCGGTGCCAAGTGGGTAGTGGGGCCGGCATAGAGCACAGCGTGGTCGGACAGGGCCATTTTCCAGGTCTTCCGGATGGTATATGACTACCTACCAGACCACCCCAACCCAACCCGAAGACCCGAATTTCGGGTTGGGGGGGGGGATGGGCTCCATATGTGTTTTTTCGATGTTCCCAGACGCCCCCTACTAGAAATCGAGGGTAAATCTGAGCCTTCGGGTTGGGTTGGGGTGGTTGGGTGGGTGGTGAGTATAGAGCCCCGCTCAAACACTGCTCGGACCAGTAGACAGGAAGGACGAGGGCGAGAGTCTTTCCATCGGAGCCGAGCGCCGACCCATCCCCTCCACGGTCCCCGGCCCTGGCGCTCGGAACTTGGCAAGAGCTTCACAAATCGAGAGCGGGTGGTTTTCAAAGTGTGGCTCTCGCCTCAGCGCCGCGCACAGTCGCGTCTAAAACATGTGCGAGGGCTTCGCGGATTGAGGGCGGGTCGTTTTCGAAATGCGGTTGTCACTCTAGCGCCGCGCAGATTCGTTTTACAAATGATGGAAACTTACGGATTGAGGACGGTGATTTCCAAAACTGGCTCTCGCCTTAGGGCCGCGCACATTCGTCTTATATTTGCAAGAGTTTCGCAGATTCCCATGGTCGACGTGCCGGAAACGATGTTTTGGAAGCAGTCAGAATTGTGAGGGCACGACAGTTACGTTGATTCGCTGCACGATTCTGGATCGTCGAAACGCAACAATCATGTTGATTCGTGGCGTTGGAGTCCCGAGAATGGTGTTTTGGCACGCTTCACGGTCTTCAAACGGTTCTCCCCAAACGAAGTAACTAGTTCCCTCAGTGAAAATGAATCACTGTAATTAGGAGCCTATGGAAAGGGAGCTTGAAGGAGGGTTTATTCCAGCATCGTTGATGGATCTTGGGTTTGCATTGCTCTCCTCCTCCTCCTCCTCCTATTATTCCTACTCTTCCTCCTCCTCCTCCTCCTCCTCCTCTTCCTCCTCCCCCTCCCCCTCCTCCTCCCCCTCCTCCTCCTCCTCCTCCTCCTCCTCCTCCTCCTCCTCCGCTTACTGGGGATTTGGCTGTTTCCGTGCTCGCAGCCCCAGAATCGCGAGCCTTGAGAGCAACCCATCGGAGCGCAATTGGGGTTCCACCCCAGTCCGTCTCTGTGGGGTGCTGGCAGAGGTGGACGGGCAGGGGATGACAAGCGACTTCCTCCTGCCTCAGCCGCCCGACTGAGGCAGAGGGTGGTACAGAGGTACTGACACGCGTGCTCGGCACAAATCTGGGCGCGCCCTCGGCGCGCGGTGCCCGCGCGCGGAGGGGCTGCGCGGAGCGAGACCGAATCTTGGACTCGCTGCTGGGGACGCGCGGCACCCCGGGCACATACTGCAGGCCCTAAGAGAGTCAGGAAAAGCCCGCCGATAAGACCGCGATGGGCAGCCCTGGCTGCGGTTGGAGGGGGCAGCCTGGAGAGCGACCCGTCGACCTGCAACTGGCCCCCCCCAACAAAAAACGCCAGGCTCAACCCCAGCGTCCGTGCGGGGGGCTGGCAGAGGAATGAAAGGGTGGACAGGCAGGAGTTGGGGTGAGGACGGGGAGGACCTCTGCACTCGTGAGTCTGCGAGGGAGGAAAGTCCGCCGACACGGCGTGTGAGTTTCTGAGCCATTCCCGACGCCATTTCCGACGCCATTCCCGACGCATTTGGTGCTCGCCGCCCCCCGTCCTGGCCCCGGCCCTGGTTGCGGCCCCGGCCCCGCTCCCGGCCCCGGCCCTGGCCCCGGCCCCATGTCCTGCATGGCCCCGGCCCTGACCGGGCCCTGGCCCTGACCCAGGCTCCCGGTCCCGGCTCCGACTCCGGTCCTGGTTCCAGCCCAGCCCCGGCCTGCGGCCCCCACCCCGCCCAGGCTCCGGCCCCGGCCCGGCTCCCAGCCCCAGCCCCGGCCCCGGCCCCCAATCCTGCTGGCCCTGGCCCCTGGTCCCCGGTCCCGGCCTCGGCCCAAGGCTGCTCGATCCCGGCCCTGGTCCTGGTTCCGATCCCCGTTTCGGGCCCCAGCCCCGGCCCCGGCCGTGGCTGGTTCCAGCCCTGGTCCAGCCCCGGCCCCGGTTCCGGCTCGGCCGATCCAGGCCCTCTGGGGGCGCCACTGTGGTTACTAAGCGTTTGGTCCTCTTAGATTTGGTTACTAACCAGTTAACTTGGTTCCGAAAACGAGGTCAACACCTCAAGGTTAGAAGGTGTTCCTAACCAGGTTGCGAAGTAGCTTACGCAAATTGGGTCAGTGGTTCGCGGCCCAAGTTGGGTTTCAGATCCATGGGTTTCCCAACGTTGTAGTCTCATTGTTTGTGGGGAAATCGCAATGCGGCGGAGGGGGCGTCAGCTCTGAAAAAACAACCAACGTATATCGTCATATTCAGGTTAGCTGTGGGTGCACCGTGATGCGCCCACGGGCCAGCTCGCCCGAGTTGTAACGACCTCACCGCGCGGTGCATCACCGCATGGCAGGCCCCTATATGCCGCCACGCTGGTTCCGGGCAGGCTGTGCTGTCCGGCGGAAGGGGACGAGGAGGGGAGAAGCAGGCAGACGACGGCGAACGCCCAGGCGGGAGGCCAGGGCCGGCGGGGCGGGCGGGCAGGCAGAAGACGGGCCAGGCCGAGACAGCAGGCAGGGAGCAGGCAGGGAACAGGAGGAAGGACCCGAGTTGTGTTTGTTTCCGTTCCCACCGGGCGCCGTCAGCCCTAACAAGGCCAAACAGAGATCCAAAGAGGGCCCAATCCAGACCCAAAGAGGCCTCAAGAGGTCCTGCAGAGAGACAGACCTCGCGGGACGGGAGACCCTCAATGAGGTCCTGCAGACAGGGCCTCGAGGAAGCCGCCTCAGGAGGAGAAGGAGGAGAGGAGGAGGAGAAGGGAGGAAAAGGAGGAGGAGGAGGAGGAGGAGGAGAAGGAGGAGGAGGAGGAGGAGGAGGG